AAGCGATTAATGCATGACATAACCGCAGTTCAGAAAGCTTGTTTAGGAGGTTATGTGCATTGGTGTAAATGCAAGAAAGTTTCCCCCATCTCACTAGTGAACCAGTGGGCGTGTGTTTTCGGTGTGAAGTTGCGCCGACGAATGAAAGGCCAGGCACTAATTGTTTTTCCATAGAGCAGTGACGAAGCACTTTGTGTCAGGTTCAGCGAATTCATCGTTTTCTACTTGCTTATCTATGTGTGTAATGTATGGGATGTAACCACCAGTTTTGGCGACTAGATGAGTAACATACTCCGAACGGATTTTGGGACGTGGTTCTAATAAATTGCTCAAGGCATATGTTTGTTTAGAGCAGCCATTCTCAACGAGGGCCATATGGCCCGGAAGAGCATAAAAAATGCCCGGGGGCCCTGGGATGAAAGCTTTTATGGGGGTCATGGGGAGCCATAGGGGGCCAATTTGTGCAAAGTGGGTTGTGATTACAGAAATAACAAAAACCAGTTACAACCTTTTCTGGTAGTTTTTCTCCGCGCACTAATTTCCCCTGGTAACTATCGTTCTGCGAAGTGAATTACCTGCGCGTAAGTGGCTGTTTACGAAGGTATAAAAGCGAGACCGGGCAGACTTTCTGTTGCGGAGCTAGCGTTGGCCGGCGAAACTTGTGCATATTTCGTCGGCCTTACCTCACATACAATCACCATTCGGCGACTTAGACTGTGCAACTAACAAGGGATTTTCCCTCAGAATTTTGATGCCTATCCACAGTGAACCAACTGAGCGCTACACATGACACTGATATATTCACCGTGCAAAGTGTAGTGAAACCTAGGGTACTATCGTCAGAATTGCGACACTTACGTCACAAAGCCCCGCTGACACTAAGTGAATTTTCCACTGTGTTGAAACTCATGTGCCGGTCAGTCTTTCTCATTCGGGTCGCATTGCGGTAGGGATAGCTAGCTAAGGCGCTTTTCGTCACCAGTCTCAGCTCGCGTGTACATCTGGCCGCTAGGTCACGTTAGCCCGAAAATTTCCGAATTAGAGTGCGGCTACAACCTCCGAAGAACGTTCGTTTGTTCTGATTACGCGTTGAGACAGCTAAGACGCGTTATAACGCTTTCTTAACATTCAGTTCGGCTGAAGTTTTCAAATGCGTGTGGATATCCGAATATTTTGGTAAGTATATATAACATACTTTGTACTTGAGGACAGTTCTCCAACTACTCATAATAATCAGCACGCATTGGCCAGCATTTTTGGCAAAAACCGATGTACGTGATTAGTTTCGTAATTGACTCCCCATGCCGGTTTCTTGAACCATCCCGCATTTTCTTTCGTATTTGTCTCTTCTGTCCTTTCTTTTACCTATTGGCACTGTTTGCTACAACTTTCCTGCAATGCATATGTGTCCAGAGATCATTGTCGTTTTCTGAGTTCCATTTCCTTCCTTCAATGGCTTTTGATCAAGAAGTTTTCTTCAGTCATTTTAGCTATCCACGGTATTTTCAAAGCCATCCTCAGAAAACACCTTTGTCTTACCTCTAACAGTGGTTCTACACGCTTAACTTGTAACATTGTAGCCACCAACATATGCCAGAAATATGCTTATCAAATGGCTTGTAATCTCACGGTCAATCAAGAATAAATTTAATGCCACCAGTTATTCATACTTCATGCGTAGTTCGCCTCGTCGAATGAGGTTATTTAATGCCATGATATAACTGAAAGAATATTAAAGCCAAAGTAGTATATATATATTACATAATAACAATTTGCAATGACATTGCAGAAATGATTTCGGCAATGGATAAATTTCAGCAGGGTTCCATGGAATATCTGTCATTTTGATTTTTCACTAGTTCTCAAAGATCCACTCTACCTATATTCACTGCTTCTTTCCAAGCGGCCTACCTATCTTCTTTCTCTGTGCACAGGGCCTGGGTTCTATGAAACAGAGATGAGACGATTACAGTATACACATGATTTGGGTGACCTGAACTATAGTGGAGTATATCACGTGTGCGCGTCGGCATTAATTAAGCAGTCAATGAATGGTAATGTGCCACTGCAAGATTTCAATTCCATAGTAAAATTTATGTCCTCCGCAAGTGTACAAGCGATTTAGAAACGTTTTCTTATCCTGTTTTATGATAACCAATTTGTCATCCACGTAGCATCACTAAATTTTCGATGAGCTACAAGAGTAAGTTAGCGCTCGCCTTTTAAAGTCTTCCAATGCCAAGTCACTGTACTTGAGTGTATGATCTAAATTGAAACCTGAAATAAGACATTTTAAGACACAGCGTCATTCCTTTTGCTTTCTGATCTACCGTAAGTTTCGTCCTCTGTCCCAGGAAACTGTCCTAAATCCAAATGACAGATATTCCATGGAACTACGCATGAAGTATGAATAACTGGTGGCATTAAATTTATTCTTGATTGACCGTGAGATTACAAGCCATTTGATAAGCATATTTCTGGCATATGTTGGTGGCTACAATGTTACAAGTTAAGCGTGTAGAACCACTGTTAGAGGTAAGACAAAGGTGTTTTCTGAGGATGGCTTTGAAAATACCGTGGATAGCTAAAATGACTGAAGAGAACTTCTTGATCAAAAGCTATTGAAGGAAGGAAATGGAACTCAGAAAAAGACAATGATCTCTGGACACATACGCATTGCAGGAAAGTTGTATGAAACAGTGGCAATAGGTAAAAGAACGGACAGAAGAGACAAATACGAAAGAAAATGCGGGATGGTTCAAGAAACCGGCATGGGGAGTCAATTACGAAACTAATCACGTACATCGGTTTTTGCCAAAAATGCTGGCCAATGCGTGCTGATTATTATGAGTAGTTGGAGAACTGTCCTCAAGTACAAAGTATGTTATATATACTTACCAAAATATTCGGATATCCACACGCATTTGAAAACTTCAGCCGAACTGAATGTTAAGAAAGCGTTATAACGCGTCTTAACTGTCTCAACGCGTAATCAGAACAAACGAACGTTCTTCGGAGGTTGTAGCCGCACTCTAATTCGGAAATTTTCGGGTTAACGTGACCTAGCGGCCAGATGTACACGCGAGCTGAGACTGGTGACGAAAAGCGCCTTAGCTAGCTATCCCTACCGCAATGCGACCCGAATGAGAAAGACTGACCGGCACATGAGTTTCAACACAGTGGAAAATTCACTTAGTGTCAGCGGGGCTTTGTGACGTAAGTGTCGCAATTCTGACGATAGTACCCTAGGTTTCACTACACCTTGCACGGTGGATGTATCAGTGTCATGAGTAGCGCTCAGTTGGTTCACTGTGGATAGGCATCAAAATTCTGAGGAAAAATCCCTTGTTAGTTGCACAGTCTAAGTCGCCGAATGGTGATTGTATGTGAGGTAAGGCCGACGAAATATGCACAAGTTTCGCCGGCCAACGCTAGCTCCGCAACAGAAAGTCTGCCCGGTCTCGCTTTTATACCTTCGTAAACAGCCACTTACGCGCAGGTAATTCACTTCGCAGAACGATAGTTACCAGGGGAAATTAGTGCGCGGAGAAAAACTACCAGAAAAGGTTGTAACTGGTTTTTGTTATTTCTGTAATCACAACCCACTTTGCACAAATTGGCCCCCTATGGCTCCCCATGACCCCCCTAAAAGCTTTCATCCCAGGGCCCCCGGGCATTTTTTATGCTCTTCCGGGCCATATGGCCCTCGTTGAGAATGGCTGCTCTAAACAAACATATGCCTTGAGCAATTTATTAGAACCACGTCCCAAAATCCGTTCGGAGTATGTTACTCATCTAGTTGCCAAAACTGGTGGTTACATCCCATACATTACACACATAGATAAGCAAGTAGAAAACGATGAATTCGCTGAACCTGACACAAAGTGCTTCGTCACTGCTCTATGGAAAAACAATTAGTGCCTGGCCTTTCATTCGTCGGCGCAACTTCACACCGAAAACACACGCCCACTGGTTCACTAGTGAGATGGGGGAAACTTTCTTGTATTTACACCAATGCACATAACCTCCTAAACAAGCTTTCTGAACTGCGGTTATGTCATGCATTAATCGCTTTGGACCTCAGCTCCATACCTAAAACGCAGTTGCACCCATAAATTACCGACGTCGAGTTTGCGATACATCGTCTATCCGTGTGGGGTTGTCAGGCGGAAACTTTACCTTTAATCCCCCGTCTCCCGGCGGACCACTCTATTCACAACCTAATTGTTACGTACATTATTGCGAAGAAGAATGATAGATTTTTAATACAAATGCGGTTGCCTTATTTCACGGTAGCTCGAGTGGAGGAATCCTTCCTTGTACTATCAACCTTTGCTGCATAAATGAATGAGTTTATTGGCTTATATTATCCTTTGATTAAAGTTGTAATAAAGTTGTGTGGTGGTAGTTTACCTAGCCGAACAATCTCCACGTTGTGGCAGCTGGTGGTTCTGGTTTATCCCGTTCCAGCGAATAGTTCGGCGGCAGTGTCCCACGACATTGTGGGCTTTCGCCTAGCAAGCGTTCTCACTATAAAAAGCCACAAAGGTCCGTTTAACAACAATGCGACGTGACGAACGTGACTCTCAACTAAATAAAGTCACTGCGCCTTCCCCTTCAGGAGGATTCCAACTTCACGGAAGTTATCCAATTTAAAAAGTTCTTTTGATCCCTTCATGCGATGGCGAACACAGCAAAGGAACTCACGAATTCAGTCACACCTCAACAGTTCACTCACCATGCCCAATAACGATACTAATCTTACATATATACAGACACAAAATGCAGTATGTTACCGCTTAACTTGCCAGATTTTTATACAACTACCGACCATCCCTGTTTGTATTTAGCAATATCATACCTTCGCAGGCATGTCTTACACTGTCGGAAATAAATCATTATTTATTTTTATATATTTGTTAGGACTTTGGTGGTATTAACCAGGGTTCAGGTGAAGCAGAAACAAGCGGTATAAAGAACGTTGTAAAGGCAGAAGCACATCAAAGCCTTAATTTTCTGTAACGTGAAATAAACTGATAAAATTTTAATAAGCGTACTTTGGAGTCCGGACTGCCCCGACCTGTCTTGCTGAACCATGGATTAATAGAACAATTTGAACTGATTGCGGAAGCCTAAAAACAATGAGTAACAAAGCAAAGCTTCATGCTCCATAATGAACGTCATCTACATGACCAAACGTTGCTTACACCAAATCTTTTGCATAGCAGCAAGTAGAAGTGTGCAGATTCCAATGGGCTAGACATAATACTCAAAAGTCCGTTTAACATAAGCCCGAAATATGCAACGAGCATTTCATTTTTGGTTCTTGTTTGTATTATTTGTTAAATCCCACATAAGTACTCGGAGCCGCATAAAAAATTCGCTTCACGTTTGCCTATTGATAAGTACAATGGGTGGAAACTCCCTGGTTCCGTTAGTATCAACCACGTTTTAAGTGTAACGTGTGGTAATGTTAACGCAATTACGATAAGCAAGTGAACAACTCAGGGAGTACAAAGAGTTAAATGAAGTAAAGTGCATCTACGCGGTGACTTCACCGCTTCGGAGCAGCAGACCTTCGTATACAATTTTTACCTATAGCAAGTAAACACTTACAATTGTGTCACTTTCAAAGTCACTGCGCATGTCGATGTCTAGGGTGCCTTTCAGTGGATCATTTACATCCACTATACTGCTTTCCCTTGAAGGTAGATTCAATGGAGGCACGATCCGCCCATTGAACTGACCAAAATGTTTCGAATCTTTGCTGGTCGACGGCGTTCTGCAAATGACAGGTAGTTCCTTGGAAGAGAAACAATCATGCGTGTATTGCTGGTAAATTCGATCATCTTCGTTTGGTACATATTGGAAAGGGACTTGAAACGCAGTTGAGCCTACGTCTCCCAATACCCCATTCACTGCATTCCCACTTGAACGAGCAAATCCGCTTTTGATTGTCATCTGTGGATTATGTCCTGTGATGCGAAACAGCTAAAACACAGAGGGAAAAGACTTGAAAGTATACTGCGTTCTAGTCTCTTACGCTTGAAATTCTGGTTAACAGTAAGACGTGTGAAAAAGTCTGTTCTTGATTACTCCCGAAGGAACTAAACAACCAGCACTAGAGTGCCACACATTCCAAAATCCGGATATTTCATGCTTTCTGGAATAATATATTCAGCGCGTTTATATGGGGTGAATGTATTGAGTGTTGGACGGAACTCCTCATTCCGTACGTGAAACGTCTTTCGTCGCTGGCTGTAAGGCACACCGTGACATAGCTTTGGTGTATCATTTGTCTCCCTGCAGAGCCAGGAAAGGGACCATTGCGTAGGCACTCACAAGTCCATTTATGTCGGCATTTGTTTAATTCCGGTTAAAGTTGGTGTGCTGGCCTTGTTAATGTCTGTACCTACCATAAAATTGAGTCTGACACCACTCTAGTTATCGGCCAATTGCTCAAAACGGCAGGCATGCCGAACTGCGCTCTCGTGCTGCAAGCTGCGTAGTAGGGGTTTACCCCGGTCCAGCGAAGTGTTTGGCAGCGTTGTGCCAGCACGTGGTGGGTATTCGGTTGGCAAGCATTCTTCCTATAAAAAGCCACAACGTATCTTTAACAATCTCGAGACGTGGCGGATGTGACTCGACAATAAATAAACCGACAAAGGCGAAGACGTATAAACGGAGCAATCTGTCATCGACTCCCAATGGGCATTATTCCTGGAATTCACCCTGCTGCCTTGTGGGTAGGCTATTTAGCCAAAGGCTCAAGGTGGTGTCCCCGAATTGGGCAACTGGGTAGCATCACTCCCACTGACAAAACCATGAATTATTCATCTGCTAAATCGCGCTCAGTCTCTTTTGCTTCCGTTACTCATACACCTTCACATGTCACATGCAGTTCGGCTTCGGGGATCATACAGGACAAAAAGACATCCTGAGGAGAGAGAGAACTATTTAAGGATCTCCGCTTGCGCTTCAACTGACTGCAGTTGCAAGTTGGTCAAGGACGATTTCTATCGTGAAGTTATCATTTGCTGAGCAAAGCTTGCAAATTCGTTATTGTTGTCCTTGCTGGTATCTCATCGCACGGGTAGGTCGTCTATTATTATGCGAAAGTCACCTCGATGGTCACTTTGCGCTCGATGAGAGCCTCTCAGAATATGGAGGGAGACTTCTCACGCTGTGCGAAGACAATCGTGTTTCTCTCGAGCATCAATTGCAGGCATTCGAGGATACAGTCCGCTACTTGGTGCCCAGATGCTGCAACTCAGTCATGGCCTCAGGCTGACCATATGACAATTCATTACAAAAGGCAGGGTAGCGCAAAGGATTGCAGATCAGTGTGGCCTACGTTTATTGACACAGACCATGCTCTTGTCTGTGCGAATATATGCATGAGTTTCGCAGAGTCTCCGAAAAAGACGCACTGCAAGGCGAATAAAAATAAACTAACTCTCCCTCGGTTCAGCAAAGCTATCCCTCTCCTTTGGACGGTGCACTAAGCTGCTACCCACCGCAAGACATTGATGAACACTGGACGTTCGTGCAGCAAACCACGAGTTCTTTCGGACAGTTAGTATGTAGTCATACTCAGCATCCTCTAAAGGCCTGGATCTCCACATGTTCTCTGGATCCATTTGGCTGCCGCAGAAATAACTCAGTGGAGCCTAACCATAATGAAATCGTCCCTCTGTCACTCGGCAGCTCAGACAAAGTTTACGCAGTGATCTTGAAGCCTAATGGACTTAGGGCGCTTCGGAAATGGAGGCCGCTGTCATCTCTCTGGCAATACTCGTTATCTATTCTAGCTCCTTGGATCCACTGACCACAAAAAACCTAGTGTCATTGAGACTATTTGTGGAGCGGAGGGTTCGCCGAATGCGAAACTACTGTGACGCTTTAATCAATGGGTCAAACATTTTCATTCTCTGTTCAATTGGCCCTCACCGTGCACTTGTATGCTCTGCGAACGCAGCTGGCTGCCCTGGGTATCACATTTGATCCACGCAGCGAAGCAGAAGTTTGCATTGCGATTCGACACTTGAAGAGATTCAAGGCGGCTGTCTCAGATAGACTTCCTTCGGATCTGTTCAAGTATGGAAGTCGCAGTTAGTATCATGCAGCTAACCTCACAGTTCTCTAAAATTAAACATGAAGAAAAAGTAGCTTCTTCTTGGGGCGAATCAGTTATTGACCCGATTTTTAGAAGGGTTCTGGCACTTCACACATCAATCATCGGAGGATTAGTCTCATTTCGGTTGCCCACAAGCTATTGGCATCTATTCAGCTCCGTAGACAATCCCCGATCCGTGCATCGACATGCCGCAAGAACAACCTGGCTTCTGTTCTGGTCACGGGTGTGTGGACCAAATACTCACGCTCTGCCAAATCCTCGAACACTGCCACACTTAGCAGAGACATACCATCGTTGCATCCCTAGACATCCGTACTGCATTCAACTCGGTTGATCGACTTGCGCTATGGTATGGCTTGTTAAAGAACCTGTCCCAAAGGTGTACACAACCATCCTACACGCACGCTACTTCCACATCTCTGGCAGAGTGAGAGTTTATGGAAAGCTCTCTTCGTCTTTCGCTGCCAATAGCGGTGTAGGACACAGCAACCCTGTCTCCGTTCCTCGTCAATATTGCAATTGAAGACATCCTATAGAGAGCTCCGGAAGGTTATGAAAATACTGGTCTGCAACTATTACCGGGCAGGCGTGCGACTGACTTAGATTATGCCGATGACATCGCCTTAGTTGGTGACAACTCAGATTATGCAAACCATTTGAACCGTTTCGTGCTTGAGGCATCTAGTTACGGAATGTGCTTCGCCCGTTCCCGTGCTCACTTGTGAAGGTGTACAGCTTGAACACGTTAACAGCTTCGTATAATTGGGCAGCTTGTGTCCGCTGATGGTGTTATCAGAAAGGAAATTTCTCTCCGCATCACCAAACGCCGGTCTTCGTTTGTCAACCTGCAACACTTGTGGCGTCGTCGCAATGTCTCCCTCGTGGTAAAGGGTCGTGTTTACAATGCCACCCTTTGGGTGGTGTTACTAAAAGGCATTGTGTGATGGCCAGTTCACGTAAATGACATGCGCCGGTTCTCGGCCTTCGACAATGGGTGTTTGAGAAGGATTACTGGTCTGTGGTGGCAACAACGTATCTGCAGTGGTGAAAGCAGACGTCGTGTCTCAGGGATTGTAAACATCCCTTACAACAAACTGGTTTTGCTGCGTTAGTTGAAACGAATTGGTCACGTCGGTTGATCGTTTACCCCATTGCGGCCTTTTTTGTTTGAGCACGACTTCACTGGAAGTGATCACGTGGAGGTCAACCGTCCACCTGGTGACGGCGGATGAACTCGTCGGTTTCTTGTAGTGCTGCTGTTAGCTCCACACGTCTGCCTAGTTGTGGAACAAAGGTTGAGCACTGCCGATGGCTGGAAACAATTCAGAAAATTGTACGTAACAAGAAATATTGGAATATCTGCGTACGTACTAGTTTAACTTCAGATGCTTAATACTTAACAAGGGAAAAATACAAAAAACGGCAAAAGGGCGCGTGCAAAATAACAAAAAAGATTCCGTTATTTTGCGGCTCGATAGTTGAAATTTGTTGCTCACCTTCAGCTGATGTGAAACATGACAATAATACGGTGATTAAACCTGTCTTCTTCTGGTGATTTCCATGCTTTTGTTTGGCCAAAAATCTATATACACCAATCGTCCTCGATTGCGATCAGGAAAATTAACGGAGCACAGAATCGCATAGTATTGCCTAGTTAGTTTACAATCATGATCAAGGACGACTTAAAAGATATTGAATTGAAACGAGTTTTTACAGCTCATGGTTTGCCTACACAACCGTCTGCGAAGGCGCTACGACAAGAAGCGCTCAAGTGCCTTCATCTGGACGGAGTGGGTTTCGGAAATATTGAAGAACCACAGGTATCGTTGCTTATTATCAGTAAGCTACCTGAAGCTCACCGAGTGTTGGAACAAATACAAGGGTGTTGTAAGCAACCCTACACAGCCTACACTCTACTGGCTTGCCGAACAACCTCCTCGTGGTGCCAGCTGAGTGGTTCGGGATTTTCCCGTTCCAGCAAATGGTTCGGCGGCAGTGTTCCAGGACGTGGTGGGTTTTCGCCTGGCAAGCGTTCTCCCTATAAAAAGCCACATATGTCTGTTTAACAACACTGTGACGTGGCGGACGTGACACGCCACTAAATAAAGTCACTGCACCTTGCTTCATCCTGGCGAAGCATTGTATCCCAGCAACATCGTGCTGTACTTCTGGGGAGCATTGGGCCCCTGTTTGGCGAAGGAACAAACGAAAGGCATATGAACTGAGCAATCAGTCACCGGCTCCCAATGGGCGCGATTCCCTGAATTCGCTCCGCTGCCTTGCGGACAGGCTATTCAGCCAAAGGCTCGGGGTGGTGTCCCCTAAGTCAACACCCTACTTCGGCTTGGGCAACCGGGTAGTATTTCGCCCTCTGACGAAACCGTGGACATTGTTGTGTTGTGTTGTGTTTTCTTTTACCATTACTGTACCTTGTTTTGAGTTCCATGATTTCCGATGGTGCAATGTCTATTCATAGACCGTTGCATATATATATATATATTTTTTATATATTTTTATATTTTATATTTTATATTTTTATTTTATATTTTATATTTTATATTTTATATATTTTATATATTTTAAGATCATTGAGAAACCACTATCCAAACATATCACTAAAGGTGCCTCAAGAATGGCAAGCAACAGTGTTTTCACCTTGATAGTTGCTGCCCCAGCATGATGTAATTATTTCCAAAAGCCCGAGAAGCTACTGGTCGTTCTGAATTGTATGACTACGTTTCGAGGTACATCTTTGAACCATCCATCGCATCACAGACCCGACCCCATTGCCAAACTGTTTAAAGTTTTCTTACCTTTTTGTAAC